GGGGCGCTGCGGTGCAAATTCCACTCATGTTTAGTACATGTTAACTCAAAGATTCGTAGAAAAAATATAAACGTTGGACTCTGTGGTCGATTCTGTGTTAAGGTAAGGCATGTTATTCGCAATTATGTATTGTGGCTGGGTTGTTATAGGTCTGTGTGACTCTCGATGTCTTAGGCCTAACTGAACGGAGGAATTATGGTATTCTTCTGTAGCCTGACGACGAGTAACTTTAACCGTTGTTCATGTGAACTCAAAGACAGCCTGATGCTTTGTTTATAGACTATTTGTGGGTGGCTGTTTGTTGTTTCACCTATCAATTCGTGTCGATAAAGTATAATAGGGTAAATCCTGTATAGTGGTTTATCCTATATAGTGCTTGCATAAATCAAGTAGTGCATACACTTGTAGCTGTTATGTATCTTTGTAAGTCATTGTAAGCCCGCGAGCAAGCGCACGAACACTTTCTTGAACAGTTGTTGTTGAGGTGTGTTTGTGTTGTGTGGTCAGGAGAGCGATTTCTTCACGCCGCTGGGAGAGTTCAGGGTGGATAAAGCCGCGTCTCCAGCGCTGCTCAACTCTCTGATGTATAAGATGTCCTACCATCGCTTTGGAGAAATGCAGGTGATTCTGGTCACATGATCTCATTCTGAACCGTGTTTGGCGATCATGTGACCGTTTCGTGTGTCAAACGTGTTCGTCTCTGTTCAGCTGGACTTCAGAACTCCTCCAGGATTCGACCGAACGCGAAACGCCGAGATCGGAAACAAGGACGTGAGGCTGAGGCACCTGGAGGAAGCGTTTACCTCCGAGCACTGGCTCGTCCGGATCTATAAAGTCAAAGATCTGGACAACCGGCAGCCGCTGGAGCGCAAACCTCGAGTCACCAGCACCGATCTCAATCACACACACAAACACACACACTATCACTCCTCCAGGAAGGTACATATTTATGTCTCATCACGTCATTTACGGTTCTTTTCTTGACTTGATATTGTTTTAACGTTGTTGATCTGTGCAGGGCACCAGGAGGAAACGAGGATTCATTAAAAACAAACTTGTTCTGAAGAAAGGCAGAAGATTGAACCGGAAACTGAAGCGAACTGGACTAGACTGAACAGAACCGGATCAGTGAAGATGAAGACTGACTGTTTGATTTCAGCTGGTGCTCTGAAGCTCTAACGCTGGTTATTATCTTTATTTCACTGCTTCATACTTGAATATGTGTTATGACTGAGAATGACAGAGGGAATGCTAACAACAACTTTTTAGACATTTAAGATTAAATCTGAAGGAGGATGAAGATATTGAACCAAAGAGCTCATGTTCTCCTCATATGAAACATTTACACTTGAAAATTACAGTTACACTCAAAAATATTGGGGCCTAAAATTTAAGACTTAAGATTTATGTATTTGAATTGCATATAAAGTGGAGTACACAGTTTTAACAAAAACCAATAAAATGAATGTGATTCATATTTGTCAGTCATACATAAATGAAACAGGTCAGATTTCTGCACTCAAAAAATCATGGCTTACTGTATTATTGCCTATTTGCATCTATTGATTTTATTTAAAGGGTTCATATGATGCTATTTTAAAGATCATTATTTGGTGTATTTGACAGCATCTCCCTGACATGCTGCATCAACACTAACTGCTGTTCCTGAAACCACGCCTTCTTTCTTTGCGTGCACATTTGGGCGGCATTATGCTAATATTTCCACATAGTGATGTAGATATGTGGGGGCGTGTTAGAACGAGCCGTTTTAGGTAGGTGTGGCTGACTCTTAACTTTTATAAAGAATATCTCTTTGGATTTGAGACTTTAGTCTTTGCAATTTTACAGATCTTCTTTATGCACCAAGAGCTTGTAACACTCCAAAGAGAAAGGAAAACTTGAAATCGCATCATATGACCCCTTTAAATAATCATATTTCCAAAGTGCGTGGTGAAAACAATTCCATTTATTTAAAAAAAAAGTATGAACATGGTTAAAATATGACTAGCTGTGGGACAAGCAATATTCAATGAGTTGAAATGACAAACAAATCAGATTGATTGATGATAATCATATAAACCTGGCATTGTGTACTGTATATAAAAGACATTCAGTTTATTAGTACAATTACAGAAATCTTGACCCGTTTCATTTATTATTATGACTGACGAATATAAGTTTATTTGGTTTTGTTAAAACTGTGTAATCCAAATAAATGGAAATTTTATATGCAACCAAATACTGATATTTTATAGTTAGTTTTTTCAGTGTTTCTTTGTGTGTTTTGTTTTGTTTTAGTATGCAATGAATCGATGCAGTAATTATCAGGACTTTTGGACTTTTCCCTGTAACTGTGAATGGGTTTTCTTTTTGTGAATGTTTTACGTGTGATGTATAGCTCAGATTTTATAGTACAGTTTTGTATGCAAACATAGATGAAAATCTCTCACTGCTGCAGCTGCTGATCTCACTGTCACTGATCTGATGCTGCTTCAGTCCTCAGACTTGAACTTTGTGTGGATTTTTATAGTCTTTGAACTCTGTTCTGATTTAATTTTATTTCTCTATAAACGCTTCTATCTCTGTTTGTATTCTTTTGTATCCCATAGAAATGAGGCTGTGAATTGCAGATGCTTGACAGCGAACATATACTGAACAGAAACTGTAAGGATTTTTTTCATGTGCATATCCTCTTGTAAAACGTCATTTTCCTGTTCTGATATATGTTTTTCTTTTGCACAATAAATAAAGACCACAATAAAAATGACCAGATTCTGGTGAAAAAAAAACGAGCGTGCGAGAGCTCTGGTGTCATTTCACCTTTACAAAAACAGTCCATTATGCTGCTTGATATTGCAAACTTTTATTTCTTATCATGTCATTTTAATTCGTTATCATAATCATAAACACTGGTTTGTTTTAGCATTTAACGCACTTTGTTATGTTTGTAATTATTTCCCAAATGAATCGGAAGTCTCGCACATTCAACAGCGTAGCCTTTATTGACGCATTGAGCGAGACCTCACTGTAAATCACTGTTTACTCTGAGAAAAACAAGGCCTGTGCATGGCCTTTTTATTTCAGCACCTTTATGAAGAGGAGTTTACAGTAGGCCTATTTTGATTTTGCAGTGTGTGACAAGTTGTACTCTGAAGAAAACATGCGTCCCTTACAGTATGTTCGCTGTAAGGCTTTAAAGGGGTCATAGGATGCCCATTTTCCACAAGTTGATATGATTCTTTCGGGTCTTAATGAAAAGTCTATAACATAGTTTGGTTAAAATTTCTCAATGGTAGTGTAAAAAACACCTTTTTTTACCCTGTCAAAAACAGCTCTTTTCAGATCAAGCCATTTTTGTAGCATTTACCTTTAAATGTTAATGAGCTCTGCTGACCCCACCCCTCTCTTCCGAGCTGCTCTCAGAGAGACCGTTTACTTTAGCCGCGGATCGGCGCATTCCCTTCAAAAACGAAAGTAACGTTAATCCTCTGCATCTTCAGCGGCTCAGATGTCGGAAGTAAAAGACTACTGTGCTGTTCATTATTACATCCAACAACAAAACACCTCAATCGCTTAGGAGTCATTCTTGTCTACATCTGCTCCAGCGGTGAAACAATGGCGGACTGATGACAGCTCACTCAGGGCGGAGCTAAGGTCAGACACCAGTCCAGTCTGTGCTGAAACGCTACTGTCAATCAAACTATCGTGGGAGGGGCCTGTCTGTGTGATGTCACACAGACAGGCATCTGAGATCGGCTAGATTTGAGAAAGGGGAAAACATTTAACCAAATAAAAAAAAAAAAAACACTGGGTGGATTTTTATCATTATAGGGTGGTTGTGTACACACACTGCCAACACACATTTCAGTTCAAACAACTTTTAAAAGTGCATGTAGCATCCTGTGACCCCTTTAAAATACTTTTTTAAAGCTTCCATAAATACTGTATTCTGGATATATGATTTCCGAAATTTAACAAAAATATAGACTAAAATGTAGCCTAATTGCGAATTAATAATATATAATAATGCAAATTTTGCAAGATATAAACTCACAATTATGAGAAGAAAAGTATGGAAGCCCTGAACTACAACAACAACAACAACAAAAAAAGTTTTTGAAAACCGTTTCTGAAGTTTTTTGAAGAGAAAAGCGTTTGAAGAGAAAAGGTTTGAATGAGAGAACGTTTTTGGATGTGAGAAAAGTTTTTAGAGAGAAAAATTTTTTGATGAGAGAAAAAAGTTTTTTTTGCACAGAGAAAAAATATTTTTGAAGAGTTTTTTTTTTTTTAAGGGAAAAATGAGGACTTTGAGGAAGGGTGTAAGACACTATTTTAGACTATTCTTTTCCACATTGTTTTTTTCATTCAAGTTGCGGTTCAGGGCTTCCAAAATCGCAATTGGGCTATCTTTTATTTATTTAGTTATTTTTTTTAATCCATGGCGGATATAAACTTCCTTATCATGTATCATATCCACCTTATTTTGCAACAAGGCAATAAGCTATTTTTCACAGGTCTGAGCGAAGGCCTCGATTAAAAGTGCATCAGAGGAACGGAACGATGTCTAACCTCTCGGGGAAAATCTCATTTAAAGCAGCACTATGTAACTTTTGGCACTCTAGCGATTAATAAACAGAACTGCACACATCCCGCGGAAGAACATTCCAACCGGAGCTACTTCTCCAAGTTTATGTCTATGGCGATTCACGCAGGTATGTGTTACTCCGCAGCGGTGACGACCCGACCAGGCTACAATAGTCCAAATATAAGTACTTCTTATAAGTGTACCGTAGTGATTCGGAATAAGACAAAAACGCGG